CTGAGCTGCTGCAGGAACACCTGAGCTCTTGTGTGATCCCCTGAGCTCCTGCAGGTTCTTCTGAGCTCCTGCAGGTTCTCCTGAGCTCCTTCAGTTTCACCTGAGCTTCTAGAGGTTCTCCTGAGCTCCTGCAGGATGACCTGAGCTCCTTCAGGTTCCACTGAGCTTCTGCAGGTCTTCCTGAGCTCTTGTGTGATCCCCTGAGCTGCTGCAGGTTCTCCTGAGCTACTTCAGGTTCTTCTGAGCTCCTTCAGGTTCACCTGAGCTCTTGTGGGATCTCCTGAGCTCCTGCAGGTTCCTCTGAGCTCCTGCAGGATGACCTGAGCTCTTGTGGGATCTCCTGAACTCCTTCAGTTTCACCTGAGCTTCTAGAGGTTCACCTGAGCTCCTGCAGGTTCCACTGAGCTCCTTCAGGTTCCACTGAGCTTCTGCAGGTCTTCCTGAGCTGCTGCAGGAACACCTGAGCTCTTGTGTGATCCCCTGAGCTGCTGCAGGTTCTCCTGAGCTCCTGCAGGATGACCTGAGCTCCTTCAGGTTCTTCTGAGCTCCTGCAGGTTCTCCTGAGCTCCTGGGGCCACCTCAGAGCCCCTGTGTGCAGGAGGCAGCAGGCAGGTGGGGTTTGCTCACCTGGATCTTGGCAGGATCCTGCAGTGGTTTGGGGTGGAACGGTCCCTCGTGGGCAGGGACATCTCCTGCTGTCCCAGGTTACTCCAAGCTCCATCCAGCCTGGCCTTGGGCACTCACAGCGTTCTCAGGATGCTGTGGAGGTGCCAGGCTTGGAGCTGAACAGGGCTGGGCAAGGCGCAGAGCAGAAGCAGCTGAGGAGCACAAAGCTGTCCTTCCCTGGCTGAGGAATTGTAAACCATGGGGTGGTGTGGGGTGGGACAGACCCTAAAGGTAAACCATGGGGTGGTTTGGGGTGGGACAGACCCTAAAGCCCATCCTGCCGTGGGCAGGGACACCTCCCACCACCCCAGATTGTCCCAGCCTGGCCTCAAACCCTTCCAGACATGGAGCATCCCGTTATTCCTCTCTTCTCGTGGAAGGAGCAGCAGGAACCTGAGTTCAGTGAGCTTGGTGGGAGCATCAGGAGCTGCTCTGGTGCTCACCCTTGGCTGGCTGCTGTCACAGCTGTGTCACCTGTTCCCTGTGGGACATTCCCTGCAGAACAGAACACCCAGGATCCAGCTCATCCTTCTGCCCCACAGACCCTGATCCATCAGCAGGGAGGGACATGGGGAAGGTCTGGGGCTCTGAGGGGGTTTTAGACCCCCAGCTCAAGTTGGTCTTGTTGGATTCCTCAGATTTAAGTTCTCCAGGAGCCTCTTCCAGCCCTGCCCTATAATCCTGAAATGGTTTTATTTTTAGATGTCACCTTGGGAAGCTCCTTCCTCTCCCACACACTGGGGGCTAAATTTGTCTCAGAATACCCTGGTGAGGGTTTGGCTTTTGAGAGATGGTGAAACCGCTTTTCCTGTGGGTAGCAGAGGTGGGAAGTGCACGGAGCTGGGATTTTCCCTGGAAGCTTCCCTTATTTATAGCAGGAGCAAAATGAAAATCTAGAATTTAGTTGGGAACTTGGGGTGGGTTTTTGCCCATCTTTTCTACAGCAAAGACACAGAAAGGTCTTTAAATTGACTCTAAATTTATAATGTGGGTGCCCCATTCCCCACCCTTCCCTCTGGAGCTGGGATCAATAGGGAATTTTGCAGACATAGCTTGAGTCACCAAGCTTTTGCTCAGCTTCCCGTGCTATTGGCCTGTCTGTACCATTTTTTTCAGAATTAATTTTGGGCTGAAAAAGTCTCAAAGAAGTGCTTTGTTCCTCCTTGACACTCACTCCAGGGAAAAAAGGAAAAAAAAAAAAAAAAAAAGAGGAGAAAAAGGAAAAAAAAAAAAGCCGTGGAAAATCTGACATCTGCATTGTAGAGAAAAATCAATAGATAGGGAGGAATATAATTATCCCCCACTCCTGAAGGAATTTTTCAGATATTTTTTGGAACAGTGACTCATATGGGCTTAGGGCTTGAATGACATTTTAATTATTCTGGCTTTTTTTTTGCTTTGAATCACCCAAGTACAGCAGGCTGGAAGGGGCACAGTTGGGCACAGCCATCAGGGGAGGATGGAAGGGCAGGATTTGGGGATTTGGTGTTGGAGCTGAGCCCTTCCCTCCCCTCAGGTGGGGGCTGGATCTCTGATGGATCCCCCTGGATCCTGTTTGTTGGCATCCTGTAAATGTGGGAACATTTCCCCTGCTTTGGGAATGTTTTATTCCATGTTCAGAGCAGGGCTGGTGTGGGGGCAAAGTGATTAAAGCCAGGGATTTTATTATCCACCATTAAGGTAAATCTAAAAAAAAATTCCTAAATGTAATTTTCCTTGCCCTGTGAGAAATGCTGCTGGATTTAATTGCCCTTAATTAATTAGGGGAGTTTGGGGTTTTTCCAGGTCCAAGCAGGTGCTGCATCTCCATCCTGCCCCGAGCTCCTCGGCCGTGCCCTGCAGGGAGCAAACCTGGCAGGGCAGGAGGAATGGAGCCCATATTTCATTCTGGACCTTAATTCAATCCAGGGGCAACATTTTCTACTGCTCCTGCTGTAAATTCCTGTGACAGGGACCCCAATTCCCCTCCGCAGGCCAGGAGCTCTCATTATCCCGAGGAGTGCCACCAGTGCCCGACCCCGTGTCCCTGCAGCCACCACCAGCAGTGGGAATTTAATAACCCTGGATTCAGAGCAAGGCCACAGAGGTGAAAGGGCCTCTGCTGGTTCACTTGGCCACCTGGTCGCTTGCCTTGAGCTGGGATTTAATTTGTATTCCTGAAAACTTCCCGATTTCCGGCAGCCCCCGGGATGGGCAGAGCTGCCTTGGTGCTCGGAGATCTTTCCCAGCCTCAGCAGCTCCAGGATTCTGTGATTCTGCTTCTCCTTTCCTGCCTCTCCTCAGCAGAGCTGAAGCCTCAGCACAAAGAGATTTTTCTGTGCAATTTCTTGGTCCAAATCCTTGGGAAAACTGGAATACTCAGGTGCCAGTGTGGGAGTGAAGGGGCCTCGAAGGCAGCTCCGGGTAAAGCTGACTTGAAGCCCCTTCATGATGAGAGTGGGAGTTTTTTATGCTGCAAAACATCTTTGATATGAAGACTTTCCTGTTTGAAAGATTTCTAGTAAACAAAAAGGGATGAACTGCCTGAGTGAGTCATTGCAGGGAAAATCAGGATTTTCAGAGCGCTGCTTTTCCCCATCCTCGTTTTAATTGGAGTTTTAATTATCCCTCCTGGATAACAGAGCTTGATAACAGCCCGGGGAAGGGAGGAGGAGGGAAGGTCATCAAGATAACAACTGTCCTGTTTTAATATTGCAGCATTCCTGCACAGAGCTTCCTCAGTGTGTGCTGGCCCTGCCAGGGCTGGAGCTGCAGCACATCCTGGGAGATGCTATCGCCAGATCCTGTAATTTTAGAAAAGCTGGGAGGGCAGGACAGCCTGGGGAGGGGAGGATGGAGTGGCTGCTGGCAGTCAGGGTGTCTTGTCCCTGCTTCAGATTTACTTGCTGAGTGAATCCCTGGAGACAGAACCGCTTGGCCATCCCTGAAATCCTGAGGGATCTCGCTTTGCATCCCTTTTCTGCCAGGCAGGAGTTCAGAAACTCTGCTCTGCCCTGTGCTTTCAGCTGTCAGACAGACAGACAGACACACAGCCCTGGGAACTGGATATTCCTGGATATTTCCAAGGTCTGGACAGTTTTGGAGGGTCTTTAACTGGAATTTTGAGTTTCTTTTAAGCTGAAAACATGTTAAACTTTATTTAATGCTGCAAGTGAAGATTTGTTTTAGTGTGAGCAGGGAGGTTGGAGCAGAGGAGCCGCTGTGGTCTCTTCCAACCTGTTCCAGTTCTGGGCATTTAGATGGAATTCATAAATGCTGGAATCTCCTCCTCTGAGCTCAGATTTTGGCCCTGGAAGGTCACTGATCCCTTCCCTGCTGCAAATCCAGGATGCCCCAGGATGCTCCCAGAATCTCCCAGGGTTTTCCTCCTGGGGAGGGCAGGACCATCACAATCAGGGCAATGTCAGAGGCAGGCAAATACCCCCTAATTGTATGCAGATGACAGAGCTGCCTCGGCCTTTTGACTAGTGAAGCTTTCCTCAATTTGGGATATTGTGATCCTAATCAGGGACCTCTCCCGGACATCAAAGCCAGCCTTGATTGCTCGGCTTCCTGCTCCAGCCCATCCCTGCCCAGGTGTCTTTCCTGCTCTGGCCCACTGATTCCTTTCTGCTCTTCATCTCCAAGGCAAAGAAATTCAATCCCAATATTGCTGCCAGCCCTGGAATGGACCCAGCGATTTGGAAATGTCCCCTCTCGTTGTTCTGAGGTCCCAGGGCAGGGGATACCTGCTGGCCCAGCCTCTAACCTGAGGTGGGGCAGAGCTGTCAGCGCTGCAGCCAGCTGTGTTTGGGGCTGGCAGCTTCCTTCCCCTGCCCCTCTTTTGTTTCTCTAATTATTTTAATTGCAGCTCTGTGTCCCCCATCCCCAGCTCTGTGGCTCTGCTCCCTTTTCCACGGGCAGCAGAGGTGGCTTTGCCCGAGGGAAGCTGTTGGGTTTGGATGTTCAAATTGTGAATCTTGCTGGCTTTTGTGTGTTATCCCAGGGACAGAGCCTGGTTTTTCCTATTGCTGCTTCCCAGGGATGCTGGGAGCGATGCCAGGAGCCCTGGGCTGCTCAGACCTGAGCAAAGGCTCAGCTGTGGCTGAGGCTTCTTCCTGGAAGGGGAATTTGGCATATTCCACAAGGATTTATGTCAGATTTTCAGTAACCAGGCAGTGGAATGAGTCAGAGCCATTGTGTTCCCTTGGGAACCACAGCTGGACCTGGGCTGTGGATGTGCCGTGGGTCTCATTCAGCCCCTGCAGTTTAACCACAGAAGTTGGCACCTTGAGACACAAACCAAAGTAAAATAAAATAATTGTGACACTATTTTTGCCCTTTTTTTCCCCCAGGGGCTGATTAAAATCCGAGGAGATCGCTGCTGGAGAGAGTTAACTTGCATGGATTATCACTACGAGGTGAGTGATGTGCACACAAAACCTCGTTCCTCTTGTCTGCTTTTCTTTTGTAAAATCATTTCCCCCAACCTTTCCTCTCCTGCCAGGCAGCTCTCCGTGTTTTCCCTCTTTATCCCAGCCTCTGGCACTCAGGCCATGTCCCTGTGCCAGCTGGGTGATGCTGTTTTTTCCCAACCACACTCCTAAAAGACCAATTTCTGTCCTTCCCTCCCCTCCCCATCGTGGATCCAGGAGCAAACCTGAGATTTTCTGAGAACTTGCACTGTAAATCTGCTGCAGGGCAGGGGAAGGAGAAAAGAGGAGGTTTTTGTGGTGCTGTTCCTGCTTGCATCCCCAAAAAGTGGCCATCTGACAGAATCAGAGCATCCCTGTGCTCTCCAACATGCACAGCAGATCCTTGGCAGTTCGGAACTCTGTGGGTTTATCTTTTTGACATCTGTTGCAGTGATTATGTTGCATTTTGATTATAAATTGGGGCTTTTTGCTGGCTCTGGGTTCGTCTCCTCTCTGGTTCCAGAGGCAAAATTGGCTCCTCTTCTCTCCTCACCTCTATTTTTGCATTTGAGTTTTATATAAATGGTGGTAGAAAGGAAAATGTGATGTTCCCAGGGTGAGAAGCTCTGGGTTGGTGAAGGGAATAATCCTGAAGGAATATTTCCTTCCCTGGATTCTCCTCACAGCCACTGCAGTTATAATG